CCTGTGATGGACTGGAGACCTGTCCAGGTGTCCCTGTGATGGACTGGCGACCTGTCCAGGTGTCCCTGTGATGGACTGGAGACCTGTCCTCCTGCCTCCAGTCTCTGTTAGATATGGACACCAGTGACCCCCACAACCCAAAAAGCAGCAGTGAGTAAAGACAATGGATGGACAGAGGACAAAGCTGTTTGTTTAAAATAAAATGCACTAATTGTGTAATGTGACTGAGAGATAAAAATGGTCGTTCAGATTAGTTGTTGAATCGATATTTTAGACCGTCGAGTGATCACAAACAACAGCAGTTGACCGTGCAGCACTACGTCACAGTGTAAACAGAGAAGGAGAAGAGTTCAGTACCGGTGACTGACAGAGCTCCGTCCACAGTTTGGGGAAAAGTGGCAGGTGAAGAGGAAGTCCTTCGTATGCGATGAGCACACCTGAAAGGAACAGAGGCAGGGAGGTAAACGTGTCTGCAGACAGCACCGTGCACTTGTTTGCTCTCACTCGTACTCAGTTTGATGAGAGTTTCTGTAAACTTCTCGCAGTTGACGGCGACGCGGCACAGCAGGTGAATAAACTGATGGTAGGGCAGGAAGTAGTCGAGCAGCATCCGGTCGTAGACTTCATCTTTACCCTGAGACAAACGCACAGAACGGTTTCACTGCCAACACCCAGCTCATGCAGCTTTTAAAGAGGAACTTCTCAAATAAAACCGTCTGCCATGGAACAACCCATGACGTGACACAAACGTACCTTGCTGCTCTCCACCAGAGAGGGCAGCAGACACATGTTGAGCTCTGGTCTCGGGGGTCGGATGTTGTTTTTGGCCCCCATCAGCTTGATGTTCTCTCTGCAGGGCAGGTAGGGGCCAAACGACACTGAGGACAAACGGACAGACACAGAAGGTCATTTTAAACAAACACTGAATATAAAGTATATATTCCTCATCTTCTCCATCCTCGTCTCTCCTGAGGAGAACCTCAACATCTTCACTTCTACTTCCAGTTCTGTCTCCTGTCTTTGTGTCCATGTCTCTGTCTCCTGTCTGTGTCCAGTTCTGTCTCCTTGTTCATGTCACTGTCTTTGTGTCCATGTCTGTCTCCTTGTCCATGTCTCTGTCTCCTGTCTGTG